TAAACTGGAGTTGAGCTGAGCTTTGAGCCGCCCTTCAACTGGGAAATGAGATCCGCCGTCAAACACGACAGACACAGACCCCAGCTGATGGGGACTCTGCCTGCCTCTCTTTCAGCTAACGATCTCCGCTTCTCGGAGGTCAGCTCTCGGATCAAACCCGAAAGAATTACCCCTCTTCCTAGGGATAATTATCCTTCTTCCTAGGGATAATTAGAATACGCTGAAATCCGAGACACAAGGACTTGGGCGAGCTCAGGCGCCGGCAGCGCCAGCGGGGCAGGAGTTTACAATCCCTCTCCCCAGCGTCCCGCCAGCGGTGCCCAGGGAGGGGACAGCAGCTTTGGCGTCCCCGCCGTGTCCCCGCTGCCGGTCCCCGAGCGCGGCGGCGAGGCGGGGCCGGGCGGGGCGCGGCGGCCGAGCGGAGCTGTCCCTTCAGCACCACCGCCACCGCCGCTGCTCCGCCGCTCTGCCCAGCCCCGGCTCCGGCCTGAGCCGGGTAGGGAGAGAGCCCCGAGCAAAGCCCCCTCCCCGGGACAGCGGCTGGAGAGCCCGCTCCCCATCCCAGCCCACCGCAGGCGTGCAGGACTGGTGCTCCTGCAATAAACAATTTTGGTGCAGTGGGAATAAAGTTTGTCTGGGGAAGCGGCTGAAAGCAGTGTCCTGACACAATAGTATCACCTCACCCAAAATATCTCCTGAGTATCTGGTTTTTTTTCTGCTGTATATCATGAAAAAGGGGAGAATAGCACAAGAAAATGAGCATTGTGAGAGGCTGAGTCGCCAAATGTCCTCTCCCAGACTGCATTACGTGGTTTATATCGGGAGTGAAAGAATGTGTTTAAGCTTGTACGGAAAATGTGTTCCTACGTTAGGCCTTTAGACCAGTGTTGTTTCTCTTCAGGGTAAATGACGGTAATAACAAACTTCCCGGGACATTCAAATTTCGCAAATTCTGTAGAGACGTGTACTTAACACGAGTTCCAAACCTCTCCTCTAACTTTGATGTTCGATATTTACACTGACAGATGGTTATCAAATGAAGTGACACTCAAAAGCGAGTTCCACACCGGTCTGTAGCGCCACTGAAACCACGTTTCCCAAAAAACTCCTTTTTTTCCCCCCCCTCACACGAGATCAAGCTACCGATTTAACAGCCCGGCGCCAGGGAACACGTTTCTCAAACTATCAGGGATCATCCCGATTAAACGCGGAATGTTACACCGAGTCAGGAAAACTGAATTCAGAGGGAGTATCCGAGAGCTACCGAGGAGCAGATCGTTGTAAAGTGCAAATGGACTGTGAAATACGAAGTGCTCTAAGCGAGTTTGAAATTACTTCTGACAAACGGCAAATTACCACTTTTTCGGCAGTAAATCCAAACTACGCCAAACAGTGGGGGAGGGAAAGGCAGGGAGAGATGGAAAGGGATGTGTGTTTACAAAAACTGATAGACGCAAGTATTTGTAACCTCTTACCTCTTCTTATCACACCTCCTTGCCCGTTGAGTACAAGTCCACACTGGGCCTCCACTGAGCTCTTAAGTAATGAGGGGAAAACAAGGAAAGAAAGGAAAGAAAGAAATCAGACACAGAAACCCGCAGAAAGATCACACAGCTTTTGCTTTGTTACATGACTCGCCCAGGAACAATAGTTAAGGTGAACTAGAAAAACATAGTTACTCTCAGAGAAACCAAGTGAAATCCCCCCTCCATCCTACCATCTGCCCCTACCCCACCAAACGCAGAATAATTTTCCTTTCATTGCCATTTAAACAAGAATTTATCCCGAACTGGCAACTTAGACCTGCAGTTACATAGCAGGATAGACAGACAAACAAGTACTTTTGAGAGAAGTGCATTCCCGCTAGGTAGTTGCACGCACAAAGCTAAAAATATGCTTTTCTGGTTTAGGGGTATATTTATGTTCGGGCACACAGCTAAATTCACAGATGTGTTTTGGGACGCGCATACACCGACTTAGAAAGTGTGCACAGAAGTAGACAAAGAGCACAAACAACAGATGACCTATTGGGCTTTGCAGGCTCCACAGATTCGTGAGGGTGCTGTAACAATGCGTGTGTCCGCACATAGGTGGGGATGAATATGCATCTGTGTGCGCACACACACACAGGCACCCATGTGTGAGCGAGGGGTGAAGAACCATCAAAAAAACCTGCCTAGGGCTTCTGGTGCACGTCCTAAGAGATCTCACTTCTTTATTCTCCTGTTACAAGGCTGATTATTTGGGGATCTTCGCCCTCCTTAATAAATATTTTTATTGGAGTGATAAAAGACTTGAAAGGGTTGGGTTTTCTTTGGGTTTTTCCTTATGTTGGGGTTAAAAAAACACAACAAACCAAACCTAAATCTTTGCCCAGTGGAAATGTGTTAAAGACGCATTTTCCTCTACAAACAAACGAGGTATTGGACATGAAAGAGGCCTTTAAGGGTGTTAACCTATTCAACAGCCCGTGAAGAGTTAAGTAAATGCGGAGAGAGTCGGTGCATAATAAAAACCCCACTTTACAAAACAATCTTTACAGTCCTGGCTCTCTCCCCCACTTTCACCATATTGGCCCTGGCCCTGTAAGACCTTCCTTTTCAAGGCTCTTTTTTATTTTAAGTGTTCTGCCTTAAAGTGATTATGAAATCAATATGAAAAAAACTTGGCGACTGAGCATAAATTAAAGCGGTGATGGGAAAAGGTGTGACAGTTTTCTTTGTTGCCCATGGAAAATCTTTTTAGGGCACTGAAAGATGCCACTCCAGCTCCAAGACTGTTTGCATCTGTTAGGCTGACTTAAACCGCCCTCGAAACTATTGGACATTCACTTAAAATTCTGTGCAGGGAAAAGTATATTTACATTTGTTGCATTTGAAATGAGGCATATGCTGATGAACGTTTTAAAAAGAAAGACTAAGGAGAAAGGGGTAGACTGGTTAAACCATAATTTTGGTTTAAAAGTATTTCTGTGCAGTCCTGTTTCTGCTCTCCACCAAAACGCTTCCCTCTACACCCGCAGTGATATTCACGAGAGTCCAAATTTGTTCTGAATCATCCAAGTCCTAACGACAAATACTAATATTTTCAACTTCTCACCACTCAGGCTTTTGATACCTCTGTACACTCCCTCTTGTGTTCAGAAAAAGAGGGAGGAGGAAAAAATAAAGAAGAGATTAAGTACAAATACCTAAGAATTTTATTTGATAATAACTTGTGATCGAAAAATTAATATTTTCCAAAGGAAAGCTGTTGATTTTCTTCTTCGTTAAATAAATAAAAAGAGGCTGTGCCTCTAGCAGCTTAACCAACCTTTTTTTTTCTTTTTTTTTTCTTTTTTTTTTTTTTTTTTTTCCTTTTAGAAGGGAAACATGTTGTTTGGTCGGATGACATTGCATAAATGACCAGTTGAATGGCACTAAGTCGAAAATTGGATAAACTATGGTGCTTTTTTGCCCGGGACTTAGGCATTGTCTGCTGTCTTGCAAACGTTCCTAATCCCCTCTTTTGAAAAATACAAGGCTTTGTGCCTGCCAAAGAAAAAAAATTTGTACAGATACAAAAAAATCAGCAGCAGACGTGGTTATAAAAAGGAGTAAATAGGTTTTAGTTGGGGTTGAGCAGTGAATGGCAGATTTTTTTTTTTTTTTTGAAGGGTGTAACATAAGGAGATCCTTGTGAAAAATGTAAACAAAAAAAAATGGCCAGAGAGGACAAAATTATATGGTGAATTTTAGTAGAGAAAACTAGGTTTAAATAGCTAGGTTTTACTCATCTGAGGTATAAAAGATAGCATTATTTGTTGGTGGGTTTATTTTCCTCCTAGAAAAAAAAATGGACAAAAATATTTATTTTCCCTGATATAGATAGATTGTTTGGATTATTTCCCGTGCTTTGATTTTAAGGAAAGAAAATAAATCTTCTTAATTTTACAAATTTCGGATTGATTTTTTTTCCCCCCAAGCCCTTGACCACTACATCTTTTTGGAAAGTCCACCACGACAAGCTTTGTATGCCAGGGAGCGAAGTGTGGGGGAAAAGTAAGTACAGTAAATACGGTCCCGTTTGTCTCACGCTGCTGATGGGGAAGCCCTCAGTTCCTCAGCTTGTCGGGGGAAGGAAGGTTTGCTTTTTGATTTGGGGCACATTTCGGAATGGAGGTTAGATACAGGATGACGTTCTTTGCAATTTTGGAAACCAATTTCATTTAAGCAACCGGCTCAATTTGGCGGAGGTGAATTTTTAGCGCGCGGGAAAGGATTTCTGAGCGGAAAAAGCTGAGCTTTTGATACACAGAAATAAAATTTTTTAGATGGGTGCATGTGCCGGTTAGGGTGGAGTGGATGACTGATTAGATAGATAGATGAATTTAGCTTTACCTACTTTATCTCTCACCCTGTTAACACCTAGATCGGATAAAGCGAGGTATTTTTATCATTCTGACTTTTTTCTGACGAACATTTTCTCCCGTTTATCTCTTTCCTCCCTCATATCTCGGAAGGTTTGCCTTTGTAGGTCTGTCGGAAAGCAGATTTATTTCCTGCTCTGTCTTTTTTCTCTTTTCCTCCTCCATGCCTTCCTTAAATCACTTGCCTGCTCTGTCGCTGCAAAGTGCTCCTTGCGCCGAAAGAGAGGAAAAGTTTAGGAAAAGCAAGAAGATGGGTTTGTTCTGATTTGATTTGGGTTCTGTGTGACTGGGTAAGGGCTGGCACACGCACATTCACCCCCAGATCTCCGGGGGACCCCCACGGTTTCAGCCAGCACAGAGACACAATCCACGCGGCAAAGGCAGGCGCGAGGTTGGTTTTGTTTAATTTGTTTGTTTGGCCAAAGAAGACCGCTAGTTTTGTTGATTTTTTTTTTCTTTCCCCTTCCACATTTTTTTCTTGCTGCTACTAATCTGGAAGGGACGGACGCTGGATCGGGTTTGGGATGAATCTTCCCTCCTTTGTATGAGCGCTACCGAGCAGAGGAAAATGGGGGTGGGGGAGGGGGTGGTG